CCCCTCGCCCCCCGCCGCCCCCGCTTCGCCTCCGCAGTCCCCTGCGCCGGGGCGATGGGGACCGATGGGGACCTGTCCCCGCATCCCCGCGTCCTTCTCCCACCTGGCAGCCTCCTGCTCAAGGTCACTGCAGTAATTCCATCTGAGCCGCCGGGTGCTGCCGCCTTATCTCCCGCACAGCTTCTGTTTCACTGCCTTTATATTCTGGGGTGGGGATATTGTGTCCGATAAACCCCACTGCTTTTAACACCGCTGGCAGTGCTCCAGCCGGGGTCGCGCTCCTCTCACCCCAGCCCCTGCTTCCCATCTCTTCCCATGCGGACTTCCCAGGCCATCTCGTGGTGGGCGAAGTCCAGCTGGGATCGGGACTCTGGCCGGGACGAGCGCGGTGCCGGAGCCCCTCACGCTGGATCTGGGGTTTGTCCTGCCAGGAGACCTGTTGGAGGCAGGAGGGACCATCCTGCCCCAGAGGAGGAGGGCTGGCGTTTGCCGGCGTTTGCTGGGCCGGCGGCACCTTTGGAAAACACGGCTTTTTATCTCCCACCTGGGTGTTGGTGGAAAGCAGAGCGCGGAGCCAAGTCCCGGAGGACTTTGCTGCGTTGCTGCCCTTGTCCCGAAGGCGTTTCTGTGCCAGGCGGGCAACGGCACGGCTGTCTGCACCACGGGCTCTCCCGGCAGGATCCAAAGGCCACGCCGACGGGTTGCATTGTGAAAGGGAATCGATATAGGGAAGCGTCTCGAAAGAAACTTCGGCCGCCCGCGAGTGTGGCGGTGCCAGGCTCCTCTCTGACTCACGGGGGACGTTGCCGGCGGAGCCGTGGGTCGCCCGGCCGCTGGCCCGCAGGAGCAGGAGGTGCTGGACCGGTCGCACAGGTTGCACGGGAGCGTGGCGGGCGCCGTGTGTGGTTCGTGGGCACGTCGGCACGGAGCAGTGTCCCGAGCCGGGAGAGGGCTGGACACGGCACAGGGAGGTACCGGCACCCCGAGGTGGGTGGTGGGATGGAAATCAGTAATCGCTGTCGGCAGGCGCTGCTGCATAGGGGAGATATTCCTCTGCCTGCAAGCGTTATCTCGGACGGGGAAAAATTGCCAGTGAGTTTTGTTGCAGCCGCAGTGGGAGCTCTGGGAGCAGCCTGGCTCCCCAGCCCTGCGGTGCGGCCCTGCGGAGGGCAAGGCAGCTCCAGGCAGCCTCTGCCTCCTGGCTTTGCTTAGTCCTTTGATAAAATGAGGGCAGATGGTGTCTTCCCACCATGTAGGGCAAAGGTGAGGATTAGGACTGGCCCAGAGAGGGGACAGAGCAGTGATGGGCTCACGTGAAGACGGGTCCAGCCTGACCCACCTGATTTTTGCATCCCCGTTGGGTGCAGCGCGTCCCAAGGACGGGCGCTGACTGCCGGGGAGGTACCAGGGCAGCTCCCAGCCGCGCCAGCCCCTGCCGGCCCGGCCCTGGATCTGGGCACAGAGAAGGCTCAGGCAGCTTGGGGGTTTTTGGAGAAGGGGATTGCGTTATCCATCCTGCTCACTGACCTGGTGCTGGAGGGTAGCACCCTGAATTTGCAATCCCGCATCAGCATGCGCTTCCATACCCGCAGCCTCTCGTGGAAGCAAAATTATCAAGTTTGCTGGGAAAACCCACCCGAGCGGCTGCCAGCGCTGGTAAGTCATGGCAGGCTCTGACTCACGGCGGGGTTTGGTTTTGCACGATGCATCCTCGGCGGCACTGAGAGCCTTGGGGCGATGGCCGGGGCGAGCGGGGCCGCATACGGCTGCAGGTAGCACATCTGGGGGTGCAGGGAGCCCCTGGCTGGTGCGAGGGCTGGGGGCCTGACACCAGCTCTGCCGGGACGGTGGGGCTGAGGCAGCCGGGATCTGGAGGAGGGAGCTGCCATTTTCAGGTGGTTACTTTTAGAAGCAGAAGTGCAGGGTAAAATCTCCTCCAAATGTTGCTGAATCCAAAGCCAAATCTCTTGGCGGCTCCGCAGTGCTGGGTATCGGCTTGCTAGGAGATTCTTCTTTTTTTCCCCTTGAGCATCCCTCATCCTGCGTGTCTTTGGGTTAGCGAGCAGTGGCAGCCCGGCACGGTGCACCTGACGCCCCAGCGATGGGCACTTCCACCTTGAGAGGTGTCCCCGGTGCCAGCCGAGGGCTCCGGGGATGGGTCTCGGTGGTCGGGCCGGTGCTGAGGTCTCTGTGTTCCCATTCCCCGCTGCAGGCACCGGTGAGGCCGTGGCCGTGAGCGCCCATCCCTTCTCCACCATTCCTGCCCGCTGCCGGCGGGGCTCCAGCACCGCACAGCCATGACGACCTCGGCGCTGCGCCGGCAGGTGAAGAACATCGTGCACAACTACTCAGAGGCAGAGATCAAGGTGCGGGAGGCCACCTCCAACGATCCCTGGGGACCCCCCAGCTCTCTGATGTCGGAGATCGCCGACCTCACCTTCAACACGGTGGCCTTTGCCGAGGTCATGGGCATGATCTGGCGACGGCTGAACGACAGCGGCAAGAACTGGCGTCATGTCTACAAAGCCCTCACCCTCCTGGACTACCTCATCAAAACCGGCTCTGAGAAGGTGACCCACCAATGCCGGGAGAACCTCTACACCATCCAGACGCTGAAGGACTTCCAGTACGTGGACCGGGACGGCAAGGACCAGGGCATCAACATCCGAGAGAAGGTGAAGCAGGTGATGGCACTGCTGAAGGACGAGGAGCGGCTGAAGCAGGAGCGGGCGCACGCGCTGCAGACCAAGGAGCGCATGGCCCTCGAGGGCATGGGCAGCGGCAGCCACCAGGTCGCCTATGGCCGCCGCGCATCGCCCTACGGCGAAGACTACGGCCGGGCACGGGGCTCGCCCTCCTCCTTTAACTGTGAGTGCTGCTGGCGGGGGCCTGGGGGCTCGCTCGCAGGGCTGGTGGCTCGCTTGGGCTCGCTGTGGGGCAGAGGCAGGCATTGCATTCGGTTTGCACCTGCCTGGTGCCCACCACTCCCCGGCACCTTTTGGAGGGGTGGTGGTGAAGCCTGATTCTATCCTGTGCCGCAGGCAGAGGTTTGGCTGGGCCCGTGGTGAACCCTAATAGTGGTGGCAGCTGGCGGTGCCCCGAACCTTAAACCCACGGCTCGTTCGTGGCAGGGAGCTCTAAAGTGGGGCTTTTTCCCCTGGGGAAGCCACGCTGCGGAGCTGCGGGCGTTAGGATGGGGCCTGGGGGAGGCTGCTGATGTGCTCCCCAAAATACCCCAGTCCTGACGCTGCTTCTTCCCCTTTTCCTCTGTTATCTCCCAGCATCATCCTCATCCCCACGGTTCGCCTCCGACCTGGAGCAAGCGAGGCCCCAGACGACGGGCGAGGAGGAGCTGCAGCTGCAGCTTGCGCTGGCCATGAGTCGGGAGGAGGCAGAGAAGGTAGGGTGGCTCTGCCCGCCCCGGGGCGCGCGAGGCCGGGCATCTCCCTGCGCCTTGCCTTGTCTGCGGGCATGGCGGGGCATTTCCCCGGGAGGAGAGGAGGGAGGATCTGGGGGGTGGCCGGTGCATGCACCTGCAACTGCACCAGGCTGCTCACACTGTGCCCAGCATCCAAAATCGCCAGTGGGCACGGGCTGTCCCTGCTCCCTGTCCCCATACCGGCAGGGACAGCAGCAGGCTGAGACCCGTCCGGCCTCCCAGACCCCACGGTGAACTTGAGGGGGGCTTGTGGATTCATCGCGACCCCCCCCAAACCTGGCTGCCCTCTTCCGCTGAGGGCTTCTGGTCTAAGCTCCCCCATTTCTCTTGCCTTCCCGTGGAGGTTTTAGGAGGCGATGCCTTTCCCAGCGCTACGGTTTGCGTGGTGGGTGGGGGGCCAGCACTGGGCTGGGGGCTTGGTGGGGCTGGGTGCTCCCTCCCACTGGCTGGTCCTTTCAAACTGGGCTAGAAAGAGCCCTGGAAAACAGCACCAGGAGGAGCCGTGCAGGGATGCAGGCAGCAGTGAGCTGCTGTCCCCAACCGTGAAACCTCCTCCAGGGTTGTCCCCTCTCCTATCTGCTGGCCACAGCCCCTTTTCCACTGGGGACGGCTTATTTGCACACCGGCTGAGATTGCCACTGGCTGGCACGTCCTTTCAAACTGGGCTAGAAAGAGCCCTGGAAAACAGCACCAGGAGGAGCCGTGCAGGGATGCAGGCAGCAGTGAGCTGCTGTCCCCAACCGTGAAACCTCCTCCAGGGTTGTCCCCTCTCCTATCTGCTGGCCACAGCCCCTTTTCCACTGGGGACGGCTTATTTGCACACCGGCTGAGATTGCCACTGGCTGGCACAGCCCATGCGGGTACAGCCGGGCACAGAAAGTCAGAGGGACGCGGTGACCGAGGGGCTGTGTGCCCAGGCCACTGGGCATCCCCCAGGGGCTGGCACCGAGCACTGCGAGCTCGGTCCTGCTGGGGCAGGGGACACGCTTTGGAGACGGCGCTTGCTGCTGCCTGTCTTCCCTGCCCGATGGAGGCTCTTTTGGAGCCAGAGCAGAGCGTATATCCCTATTTTTGTCCTGGAATTGGAGTATTTATAGCTTCCACATGCTGCTGCAATGAGCACTGTAGGAACACGCTCTTGAAAGCGTTGCCTGTTGGAGTCCATCTGGGCTGTGCACATGTGTGCATGCTCGCACACACTCGTACAGGCGTGTACACACACAAACCCCCACCAAGGTCCCCATTCCCAGCCCCAGCTGGTCCCACGCTGCTGGACAAGCGTCACGGGGCGGTGATCGGGGCTGCCATGGAGGTACGGGGACAGCTTCTCCCCAGAATCTGCCGCAGGTCTAGGCGCTTTTCCCCCAGCATAGCGGGGCCAGGCAGGATTCCCGAACCGAGGCCGATGTGCAGCGCAAACCCTCCTCTCCAGCAGGCTGCCGGGGTGAGGGGACACCTAATCCATCCCCTCTCCTCCACCGACTGCATCAGAGTCCCCAAAAACCTTCCGGGGGAGATGCTGGCTGCCTCATTTAGGGTTGTCCCAGCCTAGATGCAGAGGCAGGTGATGGGGTGGGGGAAGGAGATGGGGCAGCGGCTGCAGGGGAGCCTGGGCGGGAGCTGGTTCGAGGGCATAGGGGCACCAGGCTGGGGGTCCGCAGGCAAAGCCGGCTGGATGGGCACGGAGATGCTGTGCAGGCAGGCAAGGGGCCGCAGGAGAGGCGGTGGCGAGGACAGGGACCTCGGAGCAGTCCCAGGAGCTGAGGGCAAGCTGAAATGTCACCCAATTTCCTTTGTTGGCAGAAGCCACTTCCAATTTCCAGTACAGATGAAGAAAGGCAATTGCAGCTAGCGCTCGCGCTGAGCAAAGAGGAGCACGAGAAGGTACCTGTGCCCCGCAGCACCGGGCGCTCCTCTGTCCTTGCACTTGGGCTTCTCTCTGGGGCGCCGGAGCCCGAAACACCGCCTGGCTCCGGCACCCGCTTTGCTTTCGCTGCTCCGGGCTGTCTGCTGAGCGCTCTCCTGGCGGGCTCAGCCCCAGAGGAGCCGTCTGCTGGGATGCTGGGATTTTTCGGGGATGCGGTGGCAGCTCCTGTGCTGGGTCTGTCTCCTGGAGAAGGTGCGGGCTGCGGGGTTACTGAGCTCATGGGCCCCGTCCCTTGTCCCCACAGGAGGTGAGGGCTTGGCAAGGGGAGAACTCCCTGCTGCAGAAAGCCATGGAGGAGACTGCCCAGGGCAGGGAGGAAGAGGAGGAAGAAGATAAGATGAAGAAAAGCCAGGTACAGCACTGGGGACCTGGATGGCCACACAGCCAGCCTTGGGCTCTGGGGCAATCCTGCAGGTCTGCCCTGGGCTTCCCTCACCTCTTTATTCCCTTTCTGTTTGCAGTCCTCTATCCTGGAGCTGGCAGATATATTTGGGCCGGCGCCAGCCCCCTCCAGCCACACGTCAGCCGACCCGTGGGATATGCCAGGTGGGGGCAACTCGCAGGCTGCCAAAGCTGGGGACAGTGGCAGAAACCTCTCCCTTGCCTCTGTCTCTCCCCAGTCCCCAGGAGCTCAACAGCAAGGACCTCTTGCTTCTCCTCCCTCTGCTGCCTGGTCTGTTCCACGCCCGGGCGGTGCTGCTGGAAGCCGTGGTCCCCCGGGCACATCCCCGCCGCCCAGCATCCCTCTGTGCCCTGCACCATTCCCCTCTTCCACAGCTTCTCCTCTTCTTTCAGATATGAAACCCAAAGTGGAGCCGGCAGCCTCTGCCTGGACTGGTGCAGCTGACCCCTGGGTGCCGGTCCCGGCTGCCGGCGGGGAGCCCCTCTCCCAGGCGAGCGCCTCATCCCAGCAAACCTCTGCCGGGCCCTGGGATTTCCCCCCCGGCACCACTGCAGCCTCTGACCCTTGGGGGAAGGCGCCCTTGTCTTCTGGCTTCCCTCCTGCGGACCCCTGGGTGACGGCATCCCCCCCCACCCAGGTCTCTGGTTCTACACCAGCTGCTGACCCTTGGGCCGCTGTGGCCGAGCAACCTCCTAATGCTGGTAAGAGGCTCGATCGTCGTTTTGGCTTTGCCGGGGACTGTGGGCAGCGTTGGCCATCGCCACCCTCCTGCGAGTGGGCATCCCGGGGTGCTCCCCCCTTCCTCCCGCAGCCAGCTCCGCAAACACCCCCTCCCCGCTCTGCTGCCCCGCAGTGGGACCTCTGCTCGCCCCTCGGCATCCCAAAGACTTCAAGGAACTTTTAGGCTTTATCTTTGCACAGAAGAGGCTGCTTTAATTAACATGGCACAGTTAACGGAGCCCTCCCGTGGGAGCGGATAGCCGCTGCTGCACCGCTCCAGCAGTGGGGTGACGGTGTTGTCCCCCCCATTTCTTTGCTCCCCCGAAACCAGCCCTATGTGCCCTGCTGGGCCGGGCCAGTTGCTGCTTGCAGGTGCTGTGTTGCAGATGGGGAAGCAGTTGTAGGAGCAGCCGGTGTTTCAGAGCTCAACGCCACTCTCGGTTCCTCCTCGGTGCTTCCTCTGGCCCCGCAGAGGTCCTGTGCTGCTGGGTTTTGGTCCCTGGGGAGGAGAGCAGAATCCGGCCCGGGGGCCAGTGCTGGTTGTTAAAGCATTCCTGGAGACCTGTCCCCTCCGCCTGTCCCCGCTGGGGCTGGGAAAGGGACCTGCCTGCTGCAGGGGGACGGCTGGGAGCCGTGTGGGGGCTGCCTTGGCCTGCAGTGACCCCAATGGTCTGGCTCATCTTAGCCCCCCCAGGCCAGTGCACGTTCCCAGCCTGAGCCCTGCGCCCCGCCACCGCACGGCCTCTTCTTGTCTCCTTGCAGGCAGCAGCCCCTGCCTCTCTCCTGCCCATCCATCTCCCATCCCTCACCTCCCTGCTTGCTCCCCTCCTTGAGTCTCACCTCTTCCCCCAGCTCCAGGGGGGGACGCTTTTGACCTGTTTGCAAAGCCGCCCGAGCCAGCCGAGCCGCCAGAGCAGGAGCCCTCGCAGCCGCCCTCCTCGGCCAAGTCCAACAGCCACGTCGGTAAGAGCCGGGGGAGTGGGCAGGGGCCGATTTGGGCAGCTGGGGACAGGGACCTGTCCCTGCCCGCTGCAGGGAGGCAGCTCCGGGGCTGGCTGGGCTGTGCGTTGCTGCTGGCTGGCACGAGCAAAGCTTGTTCCCACTGCAACCGCACGCGCCATGGGCTTGGGCTGCCCCGTAGCCGAGGGGGCAGCTCCGGTCCTTGCGTGTACCGGTGTCCCCAAGCCCGCCGCCCCCCGCGGTGGCTCGGGGGGAGCTCGGGTACGCCGTGCCGCAGCCTCAGCCCCACCACATCAAGCTGTGACCTGGGGTGTGACGTGCCGTTAACGGGGGGACGCCGTCGCCCTCGGTGTCTCCCAGCTGGCTCACACGGCCTCCTCTCCCCCCCACACCCCAGAGCTGGACCCCTTCGGCGACCTGTTCCCCAGCGCCAGGCAGGACGGGGCAAAGAGCTTCGACCTCGCCAACCTGGCCGACTCCCTGCCCGAATCTGGCAAGGAGCGGAAGGACTGTAAAACCCCCGAGGCCTTCCTCGGCCCCGCCGCCTCCTCCCTGGTCAACCTGGACTCCCTGGTCGCACCTACGCCGGCCTCCAAGACGCGCAACCCCTTTCTCTCGGGTAGGTGCCGGTGCCGCGGTGCGGGCTGCTGGCCGGGAGCTACCCTGGGCTGGGTAGAGGGGTGTTTGGGGGAGGAAGAAGAGGGCTGGGGATGGCATGGGCTGCCCTGACGTGTCCCATCCTCTCCTTGCTAGGTCTGAGCACACCGTCCCCCACCAACCCCTTCAGCCTCGCTGAGCAGCCCAAGCCGACGCTCAACCAGATGCGGACCAGCTCGCCGGTGCCCGGCTTGCCCGCCGGCCTCCCCGCCAACTCCATGACCTACAGCGCGTCCCTGCCGCTGCCTCTCAGCAGCGTCCCCGCTGCCGCCGCCGCCCTCCCTGCCTCTGCCAGTGCCTTCCCCCAGGCCAGCACCTTCCCCGAACTCCCCAGCAACTTGCCACAGCCTTTACTGCCGCTGAGCGGCCCCCCGGCCCCGCCGTCCGCTCCGGGGGGGCTCAACCCCTTCCTCTGAACCCTCTGGACGTGTAGACTGTCGCCCCTTCCCCGGCTGTTACAAATCCCCCTGGCCTTTCCTCCCGCCCAGACCTTTGGGGGGCCAGCGGTTCGCTAGCTGCAAGGGAGGGTGCCCCCCACGCCAGCCCCCTCCCCGCGCCCGCCGGCTGGGGGGCAGCCAGCATGAGCCCCCGCGCTTGACAAGCAAGAGGGGACCCCCTTCCCCTGCGGAGGCCGGAGGGGGGCCGCGGCGGGGCCTCTCCTCAGGGCTGCGATTTGGGGGCTCCGGTGCAGCGGGCTGGGCTGGTGCATGGGGTCTCGCTGCTGGATGGGTTCCCCCCCCGGGGTTGGGGGGCTTTGCCCCGGCGCCTGCGGGGAGCTGGGGCCGGGGGGAGCCGGGGTCCCCTCCCGGGGCAGGCGCGGCCCCGGGC